TAGAGAGGAAAAGCAGTTCCTTAGGCCAAAGGTATGTGTGTAACCTCACATACAGCAGCCACACACACCTGTACAAACTATACACGGTGCACTGCTTCGTTGTAGAGAGGGAATATCTTCTTGTGTGTTATAAAGGCGTGTTTATATGAGTATAAAGTATTGTCTTTTATTAATTATTAATTATTCAAGTGTTTACCAACGTTGACTCCATTCCCTCCCTGACAGTTCCCACTGGGGTAAATAAAAAGATGATTTCAAAAGGTACATTTTAAAAATTATTTAGACTATTATTTAAAGGAGGTCACAGTTCGTACTGGTATCCTGTGCCAGCAAACGTTTACTTTTAAAACATTTCGAGTACAACTTTTGAGTTAAAACATTAGTTGCGTCTTTGAAAAATTCTGTAGATTTTAGAGGCATTTTTTAAAATAGTTTTTACAGGAGTATACTGTGTGTTTATTATTGTAGAATTTTAGTATTTAGCTTCTTCCTGACTGTTCTGGCACGGGCTTTTCCAGGTTGGTGCTCAAGAGTTTTTTTTTTAATTATTATTCTGGCAAATTCCAGCCTAGGAACGTCTTGACTTTAAAAGGGTTACATCTGCACATTGTAGTAGTTTTAAGTCGTCACCAGAGCTTATTCAGTTTGCTCTGTGTGTGTAAAAAAATAATAATTAAAAATTAACGTGCGACAAAGGCTAGAGTGGTTTAAAACAGAATACTGTTGCTGATAATAGGAGTCCCACATGAAGATCCTTTCACTCTTTAAATAGAGAAATCAATAACTAAAAAACTAAAATAAAATAACCTAAAAGACCGAAGTTCCGCGCCGGTATGTAAGAATATTCTTGTTTTAGTTTGTGTTCGTAATGATGGAAACGTTTCGGTATCAGCCGCACGTGTCGGCAGGGAGAATGGCGCCCAGACCCACTCGGGGATGAATGGATCAGGCTCAGAGATAGGGTCACTCTCTCGGAGAATCCCCCCCCCAAAAAAAAGACACGCGTCGCGGTCTTTGCGTGGCCGCGCTCGGGAAGAGGCTCGGTGCGGAGAAGGAAAATCAAACCGGCGCGGAACCGGGGTGGCGTGGACGAGCGGAGGGGGCCGCGCCGGTCGGGCGCCCCAGGGACTGGGACTTTGTAGGGCCAGTTGAGAGAGGGGAACAGACCTCACCTCGCCCGCAAAGACCCAGCCCCTGTCGCGCACACACTCGCCGCAGGGTCCGGCAGCCACAGCCCGCTCCAGGTGCGCCAGCTGCGGCCAGGCTCGCCGAAGCCCAGGCGCCTGTCGGGGAGGTTCTGCTGTCTCCGCTGCGCGTCCGCCGCCGAGGACCCCGCACCGCAGCGCTCGGGCCGGGGGGCCGGCAGTGGACCGGGGGCGAGACCGGGTTTGTTTGAAATGCCCACGATCAACTCTTTCAGGTGTGTCCTCCCAAGTTTCCGAGCACGACATGCTTACGGGAGCTCAGAATCAGGACGGCCCGAATGGATTCAAGCATGAAAGCACAGTTAGAAAGTCCACAGCTACCGGACAGCGGGATAGTTCTCCCCCGCTCGGCACAGTCTCACCTTTTAGCATTCGCCCCGCAGGGAGAGCAGGACAGCTGGCGGCAGCGGCGGCACCGAGCGCTACACGGCGGCGGGTTACCTCTCTCGGACTCCGGGCCACCAGCGTCCCTGCGAATCGGGGGCTCAGTGTCGTCCCGGACGGGCTTCCTTCCCGAGAAGCAGCCGCCTTTATGCCGGGTGCGGACCCGGAGACCCGCTCGGGACGCCTGCGGAGCTGGGTGAGAGTGAGCGCGAGCGGGGGAGCGTGCCCATCTCCGAGACCCCCCCTCCCCTCCTCCTCGGCACCCCCTCCTCCTCCTCCTCCTCCTGGAGCTCCGGCCGTGTGTCGTTATTCCTGATCCAGAGGCTCGGGGCTCCGCTGGGACCACTTGCAACATTTCTCGTCCGAAGAGGAAACAACAACAACAACCTTCCTAGGTCGTGGGTCGTGGGTCGTGTGCCGGGGAGTGGGGGGAGACAGGACGCAGCTCACCGGTGAGACGGCGCGCCACAGTTTGCCGGAGCGTTGTCTCAGCCCGGAGGATCTCTCAGAAACTTTCCTCGCCCTCTCGCGGTGGCCCCGCGTGTGCGTGGGACGGGTCCCGGGCGGGCGAGCGAGCGCCGGGGCCTCCCCGGAGTGGAATTCTTCAAGGTAGCTGGCGAGTTTGTGCTGCTACTCCGTCTCGCCCCTCTCTCTCTCTCTGTTTTAAAAGAAATCAGTCATTATTAGATTACTATTGCCACCAAACGGAAACGGGGAGCGCTACACTTCTGCGAGACTCTGGGAGCTCAGCGCTTTGCAGGCTGCGAGCCGCGCGGGTAATAGTAGGGTGGGATCAGGCGAAAACGCCCATTTTTGTCAGCGCTCCCTCGACTTCAACTCCTAGTTTTGAGGGCGCGAAAGTGGGACTGTCAGTGTTCCGCCGCGGAGGGAGGCAGGTCCGGCGTGTTTATTTCCTGCCGCGGTGACTGAGGGCGCAGCGCCGCCGACTCCCTCTGGTCCGGTCCAGTCCGGTCCAGTCCGGTCCGGTCGCAGCCCGTGTCGGGGTCCCGGTCGTGACGCGCTGCGGGTTCGTGGTCGGCCTGGACCTGGCTTTAACACGGGCAACAGGCGCCTGGTTGGAACAGGTGTCCCGGGACTTTCCCGGCACCCTCTTCTGTCCGAGGGCGATGACCCCTCACCTCTTGTAGGGGGTGTAGCACGCGAAACTCCCGGGATCCTGCAGGTTTCCCAGAGGGAAAGGGAAAACAAGGCGGCTCGTTCCAAACCGGGCCGGGGCGCGCTCTGCAATCACAGCAGGAGCGCTGTCCAGGTTCCGGTTCGGCGGTGATTATTCAGCAGCCTGGCGTCTTCATGACATACTCAGCATTTCAATCTGGTCCCAAAACCTCAAAAAGAAAGGCTTTTAATTAGTGTCGGCGTCTGCTCCACTTTCTAACGTTTGCAGCACGTCTGAGCGCTGGTCTTTCTTATTTCTACTTTGCGATTTGCCCGTCCTTGAATTCACCTACTGTAAAGCGCTTCGAGATGCGGGTTTAAAAGGCGCTATATCAAGTCAAGTGTATTATTACAAATCATCTTAAAACCGAGCGCCCAGGACGAGGTGGGGGTGGCTGGGCTGGTCGCCCCTGGCCCAGTGGCCGGACCCGGGTCTCTCGGCACCGTGGGGGAGGCCGGGGCGCGTCACGCGGGCGGTGAACTCGGGGGACCCGCAGGCGAAGTGAGCGTGACGCACGCGCGAGCCACGTGGAGGAGCCTCACCCACAGTCTCGCCCAGTGGGAGACGGCGTGGGTTCAACCTCTCCTGTTCAGACCTGTTGCTGACCGTTTTTATTCACAGTGAGATGTTGAATGTTGAATTAAACCGAAATCTAGCGCGGTAAGGAAGTGTCAGGCAAACAGTAATATAATATAATTGATTTAAAAAAATGAGATGTGTGTATAACGTTGCATGTCATTTAATTATTACGTGCTGGGTTGTTACAATATACAATAAACAGTTTATGTAAGAGTATGTTTCACACGGGAATGATTAACGTGTCTTATGAGTTTGTGATTTATATGATTTATATTTATATTGTTATAATTAAATACGAGACTCCCCCTGAATTTGAAGCGTCTCTGAATTAGAGGGTAAGGACGATTCCTCTGGCACTGTCCAATAACGGCTCTGGACTCCGAGCCAATCTGAGCGCGTTGAGAGACGTTCCCGAGTGAACTTGGGTTTCTGGTCACGACGCGTCTGCTGGAAGCTCATCGGCGCCCTCTGGTGGTCAGCTCAAACCTGCGCTCTAATGAATTGGTGCGGAAGTTACTTCTGAGCTTTTTCGTCCTCACCAGAGAAATCAGTGCACGTTGTAGTCAAAAATATGTATTTTTCATCCCGTCCGGGTCTGTGAAGTTGAAAGGTCCGGGTCTGGGCTGTTAAAGGTGCTGTATCCCACCAGTTACCCCAAGTCCAGCGATTGCTTGTGTTCATTTCCGCAATCGCGTAAAAAATATTATCCTAAAAAAATATTTGTTTTGATGTATCAAGTGGTAATATTTCAATAAAAAGGGCATCGCATACCCCCTTTCTAATTCAAATCACCAATGAGCTTTTCCGTCGTATAAACTGTTCAAATGATGGACACACACGATAGCCAGCATTGAAGAAATACACGTTTTTGTGGACCCGCTAAAATCACCGAAGTGGGTGTTTTAATCATAGTACAGGTACATGTTTTCCATTTTACAATTTTTTAAACAAAATACGAGCCCGCCAGCGGTCGCTCCTCCGAGGCACGGACGGGGTTCGAACCCGCGATCTTCGGTTTACGAGACCGACGCCTTACCACTTGGCCACCGCGCCTGACAGAGTCCTGCTCGCAGCCACCGCACTGGAAGTTCACGGGGCTGTTGGGGGCGAACAGTGATTTAATTATCGACAGACTGGCAATCGCGAAGGTTCAAGAAGCTCCAGCACAATAAACGGCACCCTCGTGCAAGGGGACGCGTCTACGCGCGGTGAGCAACTCTTTCATGCTTTCCACCGCCTGTGAAACACTGCAGGGGCTGTCCAATTGGCTCCTCTGGTTTCTTTATCACGGCTTCCAGTGTCCTAACCGATCATGTCGGTAATCGATACTAAATAACCCAGAAACTCGTGCAGCCGGAAATGCGATCCGTCGTAGAAAACAAAAAAAGAAAACTCGAATCCTATAATACCTGTGGGTTGATGGAAACCGCGCGTTTCACGCGAATAGAGAAATGAGTTAAAACAAGCGGTTTGATATCAGACGCAACGCGTCGGGACGCGTCTCGTCTGCTTGAACCTTCAACGCGACTCGAAAGCGCTGGTTTGTAAACCCTGCTCATGGCGCAGCTCGGCGCAGTGCCTCAGCGCGCCGCAAGGAGGCAGTAAGTTCACTCTGCCCTGGTCCACCGCCGGGGGTCCCCGCTCTCCTCCCTGACGTAACAACACGTTTCCGAAGTCCTGAGTCAAACCTTCCGACAAGCCCTAGGCGGCGTGCAGTGAGCGAACAGAAAGAGGAAAAGCATTTGATCTTGTTTCAAGAGGCGACACAGGCGAGGAGATACAGCGCCTTGCAGCACTGATGCTTTGCACGAGAATGTAAACACTGTGAATGCATGCATACTGGACATCCGTGGCGAGGTGTCGGAGCGCTTGGCGAGATCGGCGCTGTCGCCCGTGCCAGCGAGAAGGTCCCACGGGCGGGCGGGTCTGCTGTCGTGAGTGTGAGGACACGCCTGGCCCGTGGGAGGCGCCGTGACGCTGCGCGCAGCCCGTGACTCGGGAGCCGGCCGGCCCGGAGACTGGAGCGCAGCTCGACCTGCACGGATCGGTCGTGCGCCGCGGGTCTCGGTACTCAGGTGAGTCGGAGCCGAGGGGGTGTTTCGTGCTGTGGGAACATACAGCGAGCGCGCAGTTATTCCTGCCGTGCGCATCGGAGGGTGTCGATCAGAGAGCGGTGCCCCGGAGGCCGGCGTCGCGTAGACTCATCTGTCCCCTGTCAGCTGTTCCCTGCATTCCCGGCGAGGGTGGCGGCAGCCCAGAGCCCGGAGCTCAAGGCTTCTAGGCTCGCAGAGATCACTGCAAGCAGGTTCGGGCGTGAAGAATCCGTTTCGGGAGCCCGGTCGACGATTTGTCGGTTTGCTGGTGCAGCTCGGGGAGCAGAATCGGTATACGGGTGCTTTCTGGAGAGAAAAAGGGATTCATTGTTTTCAAAGCGAGAGAAGCAGAGAGCAAGTTCGCTCGCTGCTTCTGCCTGAAATAGGCCGAGGGGCTGTGCCGAGCGCACGCAGGCCCCGCCGAAACAGAGCGGCACAGGTGCGTGACCCTCTGTCGCCGGCGATTAGGACGTGCGGAAACAAACCGAACGGGCTCTTCGGCTGACGGGTTTGCAGCCGCGGCCATCGATCGCGTTGTGTGTGAGAGGGCTTTACACTGGTCAGACCCTCGGCCGGTCACCCCTAGCAGTGGTGCCGCTTGATGAGGCCACTCTGGGGGTCCGAACCGCGGTCGGAGAGACCCGGCAGAGCGCAGCTGCGTGCGGCGGCGCTGCTCCCCAGAGGTAATACTGACCCCATTAACTGGCTCCCCGGAGCGCTTTAATAAGACACAGCCAGCGCAAGAGCTCAGCACTGCTCCCACAGCCCCTCGGGCTCCCCTGACGGGCCCCGGCCCCTGTCAGCTCCCCGTGCAGCGGTGTCTCACGCGGGGGTCTGCTGTGTGTCTCCCCAGGCGCGGCGAGCCGGCGGCCCCAGTCTGATGCTCCGGCCCCCCGGGGGGGCAGGCCCGGTCGATGGTGTCTCCCACCATGAAGGCCGTGGTGGATGCGGTCTGGGCCGTGTGGAGCATCGGCGCCTCCATATACGACTACCTGCACACCAGCGCCATGGAGGAGCGGATCCACGCGCTGGAGAGCGCCGTCACCGTGCACCAGTGCGTCATCATGGCGCTGTCCGCCAGCCTGGTCCTGCTCGTCACCTACATCCTGCTGAGGAAGCGCTGAGCCCGCTGGGTCGCCGGGCTGGCCGGGGGCCCCGCGCTCTGTGGCGCGCGCCGGCGAGGCGATCGGTCTCCCGCTGGCCGAGAAGCCGCTGGGTGAAGCACTGTGGGAGAGACACTGACCCCAGACTCCCTGGGGGCAGCAGGACTCGCCAGGACAGCGCAGTGTCCGCCGGGCGTTAGCAGTCTGTCTCCGGGTCGGCGGGCCTTGATCCCGGGCTGGGCAGAAGCGCGGCTTATCCGCAGCAGGGGTCAGAGGTCAACAACAGGGAGGCGTCTGTCCCCTGGGCAGTGAGAGCACTCGGAGAGATTTTTAAGCCTTGCCACAGAAACAGTTCCCCCCCCAGCCGATCGACTCGGGCCCAGCACAGGGATGGTTAATGCTGTTCCAAAGACGGGGTCCCGGCACCCCAGCAGACCCCCAGTCTGCACACAGCCTACGTGCGCCAGCGCCCAGCCCACATGGAGTGTCGTGAACTGAAACGGAGAAGTGACCTTACTCACCGTCAGTGTCCACTGGCATCTGATTTCTGGATTCTCTTTACTGTGTCAGACGCTCAGAAAAAGTTACACTTTTGTGCCATTTTGGTTTTCTTGATAGTATCGTTTTGAACTTTCACTGCTCAGAAGCACCGGAGTAATTTTACTTAAAACAGTACTGGTGTTGGTGAAGTAGGAGATTAGGCTACTGCGTTATCTCATAACTATATTAACTTTTATGGGTAAAGGTCATCACACTGTATTTTTTTAACATCCTGTAATATAAGACATTTTTTATCATTGATAGGATTTTATATTACTGTGCTGTACTGGTGTGTTGAGTTGCCTTTAGCCTTGAGTTTTTAGAAAGTGCAGAAGGTGGTGAATTGTGTGCAGTTGGGTTAAGCTGTAGCACGTCTCTGACAGTAGCTTCGATGCGGCGTCTTGGGAGAGAACAGGACTTGATTCAGATCCGTCCTCATTTCTAACTGCATTGGAAATGTGTTTTTACATGTTCCCTTAAAAAAGAAGATTCATACTTGAACATCGGTAAATACTGGATTTAAGTCCAAAGATATACTGTAGGTAGCCATGGTCAAATTTGCAAAGGGAGTTATTTATATGATCAAGCCTGAAGAGTATGAACGGCCCTCCCTTCTGTTCGTCTGGGAACTGTGGTCCTGCGGTTGAGGAGCTGGTCAGGAGGTCCTTCCCTCTAGTGCAGCCCAGCACTGGTGCAGGGGCAATTAGTTCCAGCCTGGCAGATCATCCCAGAGTGCTCAATCGACACTCCCGTCAGGAGCGACGTGGGTGACTGAGGAGGAGCTGGGGTTGGGTGAAGCTGCAGGGAGTGAGGGGCTGTGGTTCGGTCCCGTGAGGGGCCCACTGGGTGAAGCTGCAGCTCTGTCTGGCTGTGGTCTGGGTGCTGATGGGGTGCTGCCTCAGTGGAGGAAGCAGGCAAACCCCCCTGCCTGCTGCTTACCCTCCCCTTCGCTACATGGGTTGTGTCCCACTAGTGCAGCTCTCAGACAGATGAGATTTCAGATGGATTTTTATAACAAACTTAAAATAAGCAACTTGTAGTTGGCTGGGACTGATTGCGAGTCTCATTGTGTAAATTATTCGTTAGTTCGGGCGGGGGGAATGTGTCCCAGCCGCCCCGGCGGGTGTGAGCGAGGGGTGGGAGGTGGGGAGTCGCCCACTGTGAGGACAGCCCTCCGTGCGCGGAGGCTCAGACGCCCCAAGCCCCCGCGATGACTTCCTGCCCGGGGTGTCTCCATGGCGGGGGGCAGGCTGGCTGGGAGGCAGCTCAGTGGGGGTCGGGCTGCCCCTTGTGCAACTGCGCTGGGGGAGGAGCGACTGGGGAGCTCCTGTGACCTGTCACCCTCGGAACCCGTGTCCGACTGGTAGCTGTAGACTCCCTGCCTGGGGCTGCTTGCGAGACATGGCTGCGGATGGACAGCAGGTCACAGGGCAGGTTTCTGGCACCCTGGACACAGCACAGTGAACTGTAAGACAGCAGGGATGAAAAAAGGGAAAACAAATCCCCAATAAAAATAAAAACTTTCATCTTTTGGTGGCATTTTCTTGTTTGTTTTTTTTGGTTCCTGGAGGTTGTCCATTTCTGGCGTGTAAACATCACAACACGCAGGGCAGCTGTCCGCGGCTCTTCCCGAGGATGTGGGGTTGACGGGGTGGAGTAACAGCGAGTCAGAGGCCGGCCGAGTGTGACCCCCACTGAACATCGGTGACTGTGTAGCAGGTTTCAGGTGCTGTCCTGTGGGATTCTGTCCCATTCCTCTGGGCAACCGGACAAACACTTGGCTGGTCACTGGTCGCCGAGCCTCGTTGTTGCCATCACTTACCAGCTCACACACACACACACACACACACACACACACACACACACACACACACACACACACACACACACACACACACAGACAGAGTGGTGCTCAAGGACAGCCAGAGCTCCACTGTCCCCCCCCTCATGGCCCCAGGACACCAGTGCACGTCTCCACACTGGCGTTCCGGCACAGCCAAAGGCATGGCTCCGCGGGACTGACGGACACAGGACAGCGAGGACTCCGAGTCCCAGGCGGAGCTCGCGCGGGAAGTAAAGCAGCAGAAACAACGTGCAAAAAATCGGCAACTTTATTAGAAAAAAACGGATAAATAGAACAGGGGGTGCGGAGTTTTAGGAACACTTTTAAGAAGCGGTGACAATGCCAGGAGCACCGGGACATTTTTCCCCCCTGTAGTTCTAGGGAACAGGCTGCCGAGGCCGGTCGGACGGGGACACGGGAGAGACAGTGGCGCCCCCTACAGGTGCCCGGTCTGCAGCAGGGTGTACTGGGTGACGAAGCGCTCCACCTGCTCGCCCTCCAGGGTCCTCATGGCCCTCCAGTGGATCTTCCCGCAGTTCTCCATCTGCCCCTGGGGGTGGCTGAGCTCCTCCTTGATGTAGTCCAGCCACAAGTCTGGAAGACCACAGAAACAGCACAGAGGGTTACACCTGTCCCCAGCGGGAGACCAGCGCACCGCTGCGGAGCTGAGGAACGGAGAGGTGTGTGTACACACATGGCACACACCCCCAGCAACGCTGCTGGAGATGCAGTGGGCTGGAGAACACACCCAGGCACTTGCACCCCGGCACTCCTAGTCCGCTGGAACAACGTCCTGTGGCTCGACTGAATGAACAAGCTTAAAAAGAGGAGACTGCGGTATTACTAAAAAGTAAGAGAGAAGAATTAAGCACCGCTCTCTCCCAAACCAAATAAAGAGCCAGCACTTGTTCCACAGTCCGGACGTTTCTCAGAGACCAGAAGACACCTGGCGCCACTCATTTCTCACCCTCGTCTTCAGAGCCAAACTCCCTCAGCGCCCGCTCGTAGTAGTCTCTCAGGGCACTCATCTTAGAGGGCTTCTGCAGGCAGAGGAGACACTGCATCAGGCCTTTAAATCAAATTCAGAAGGCTTCACAAAATAACCGTCTCACGGCTAGTTACTCTGGAGAACTGCAAAACCGCACTGTGATTCTCACACCTGGGAAAGAGCTTCTGTGGATTTGCTGTAAAGCTGCTGTGAAGCTTCTCCTACCTGTTCCTTCTCCAGCTGGATCATCCTGGTGAAGAAGGCCTTGGAGAAGGGCCGGCTTTCGTGCAGACTGCAAGTGAACAGGGCAGAGGACAGCGATCAGCTCGGCGGGGTTTAGTTTCAGGAGTTCGTCATGAAACTGAAGAAACGGGGGTTTGTCCTGAAATCGCCATCTCGACAGGCTAGAAATAAGGGCCTTTAGAGTTTCCCAGCGGTTCTTGTGCCAGCACCCCTCCACCTCCCCCACTTCCTCTCTGATGACCTCCCTCCGTGACCCCAATCCCCCCGACCCCTGACCCCAACAGAGTGTGCTGGGCTCAACCTGGTGAATGTCTTCTTTGCCGCCTTGTAGCCCCCGGTCCGGTAGGACCAGTCCAGGTACTTCTCCTTCATTTCCATGGACACAGCAGGGACGGAAGACAGTATTCCCTTCTGTCCCGAGAGAGAAAAGAGAATACGCGGAATAATGAGCACAGCTGCAGGTTCGAAAGGAACGTCCAGGGTCTGTCCACCAGATGGAAAGGGAGCGTCGGCGCTCCGGGGTCCGGGGTCCTGCAGCTCCCACCTGGAAGAGCGCCTTGGTCTCTTCGGGGTTCTGATGAGTCTCGCTCCACTGCAGGCGCAGGTTCCACAGCGGCCAGCTCTCCTTCCACACACACACATAGAAAAGAAGAATCAGAGTGTACCGTCCACACCAGGCCCGCCCACCCCTGTGCCAGTGCCAGTGTGCACCTCCGCCCGAGCACACTGGCACACGAGAACAGGCTGAAGCACACTCCACTGAAAGGCATCAACACACACCAGACCCCATTTTGTAATTGAATTTGTTTGGTCTTTAACTTTAATAAAAATGATATTAAAGTTTATATAACTCCCGTCCATCTGGGAAATCTGTCTTTGGCATCACCGTAAAATAAACAGCACTCAACATAAAATGAATACATATTAAAAATGAAGAACAGTCGTAGCCATGCAACGATACACATGCATGTAGTTCTGCCCATATTAAACTATATTGCATTAATCAGATGGTTTCATATGGGAAACAGGCATTTAATGTACCGAATGCACCGGAAAAAGACAAAGAACAGCTGACACAAAGGAATAAACAGCAGAGCACAGATTCCCGAGAGGTCAGTGACACATCTGGCCCTGCCTCAAAGCCACATTGATATCGACAGGTACTCACCTTGGGCTTGATCAGCGTCAGGGCTTCATCGAACATCTTGCTGACGTCGCTGCTCTCCAGCGCCATCAGTGCCTGCAGGCTGGTGCACCACGTCTCCACCGAGTGGCTGAACCGCTGTGTCGCCGCCACGGCAACCTCCGTGGCGACCTGAGTCAGCCCCACGCGCTGCAGCACCTGGAGCTGTGCAGGAGACCCAAGCGACCGTGAGCAACACACAGCTCTGGCAAGCCCTCCTGCTGCCCCACGTCAGAGCAGCGGCAGAAAGAGAAACGGACGCCCCACAACTGTGAATCTTCTTACCCACGTCTTATACAGGGATTCATCCAGCAGCATGGAGTCGTGTGCCCTCTGAAACACACCCAGCAGCCTCTCCTGCCTCTGAAACAGACAGACGGACGGGGCGCAGGTCAGCGAGGCTCAAACCGAAACTCCTAGCCGTGTGCGGCTAGCGGCGGTGGAACACACATCAGCGGGAGGCTCAGCCCAGACGCCGCCACCGCCCGCGGCGAGAGACGCAGCCTCCCAAACAGACCAGCTCACCTTCTCCTTCAGCGCCTGGCTGTTGGTCTTCCTCTTGAACCTGTCCAGGCAGTACGTGACGTAACGGGTCCACATGTCCCCTGTGGCAGAGGAGCGACTGTGTCAGAACGGGGCTCGTTTTAAAAGCCGTCGGCTGCAGGACTCTGCACCGGGACACGCGCATTTGTTTCAGGATTGCAGAGAGATACTCTCTCGGTACCTGTGCCCAGGCTCCTGACCGCCTCCTCGTACACCAGGCAGCTGCGCTCCTCCCTTCGCCCCACCTCCGCCGCCCGGCTCTGCGCGGGGACCATGTGTGCGGCTGGCAGGGGCTCCGCCTCCAGCTCCCGGCGCGCCAGGAAGTCCCAGGTCACGGGGTCGCCGGCATGCCGGCTCTGCAGGCTGGACAACAGCAGGCTCTCACACACGGGAACGCTCCACACAGCCACCTCCCGCTGGGCGAGGAGCAGTGGCAATGAGACAACCTCAATGAGACACCCTGCCGTCTTGCTGATGCACAGCTTCTGCACTGTATTTACATGCTTCCTGCACCTGGGACTGCAGGCCACACTGCAACAGTGCTGAAGGCTGTACTCCAGATTTCTAATAGTTTTTTTATAGACGTGTTGGATAAACACAGCTGGTAACACACAGCAACAAAACAAGAGGCACAAGGCTGTGATACTAGTGCAGTACTGCTCAACTGAGGTGCTTTTCTGAAGCTCCCCCGCCTAAGACTATTAATCCACCACTGGTGATCAGTGCAAACAGCAGGCAGGGAGTCTCACTCTTGAATGATGATGTCCTGCAGCTCCTTCGTGAAGTCGAAGAGCCCAGCGATCTTCAGGAAGGACAGCACAAACTCCGCCCCTGAGCGCAACAGAAGTACAAACACATTTAGCGCAACTCACACAACAGCTCCTTCTGCTGGTGGTATTTCTTTTGACACCTTATGGTACTTATGACAACACACCTTTAATTTTTTGAACTGCCTCTTTGTAAATGATTTCGGCCAGCTTGCCACTCATGATCTCGTCAGGAAACTCGTACTCTCCCTGGAGGAGAGACACACCCGTCAAGACTGAAACCGCATGAACAGACAGTGGGGGATAAAAGACTCGCAGCAACTACATCCGACACCTACCAGGTCCATCTTGGCCTGCTCCAGCTCCTTCTTCTGTTTCCTCAACCTCTCTGCATGCATGAGCTCCATCCGGAAGTACTGCAGAGATGGAGTGGGAGCAGGAGATAAAGGGGACTGCTCTGCATTCTGACCCCCCCTTCAGGAACAGCCACTCAACCACTACAAATAAACACCTTACAGCAGCATTTCAGTCTGCTGGCAGCCTCCTGCGTCTACCCAATGGACTCCCGCCCCCCCCATACCAAGATCCAGGTAGGCGACAAGGTGCTGGGCTGGAACTGGGACTTGGCAAGGCACTGTACAGCGCTGGAGTACCAGAGAGCCTCACTCCAGTCGGGTATACCAGCCTCTTTAAATCGCCATCAGCTGGGGGCCTTTGTCCAAGTCTCAGCGCAATGCGTCATTCCGAGCTCAGCTCGACACGAAAGCCGGAAAACCCTGCAGGACAGCAGCCGAGCCCAGGGGCCGGGCTCAGAGGCGCTCACCTCCTGGTACACCTTGGCGTGCTCCGGGTGGAAGCGAAGGGCGCGCAGGAACAGGTGTCTCGCGCTCTCGGAGGAGGAGTGATCCTCCATCTCCCACTTCGCGGCCATGATCCACAGAGCTGGGGGGGGAGACAGCTCCAGTCAGCTCCACTGGCAACGCCTGCTTGCTACCTTTCTGCACCAAGACATCTCCACCACGACAAAACCGCTCCTTCCGATAAAGCTTTTAACTGCACTTATGACAATCATCAAGATCAATCGATAGTTTTCAAGCACTGTACCTGGTTTATCTGGGTGAATGGCCAGCATTGAGGAAAACACTTTACTGAGCTGGATAACGGTGTTCTGGACAGACAAAAGAATGTACTTTAGAAAGCACGGCAAAGCAGGACTCAACACAATCAAATGCTGTGGTCCAAATTAAGATGCACAATAAGCAGGGAAACAGATTTAAAATTACCCACCCATTTCTTACAGAAGGCAACATGGGACAGCCACAGCTGGACATCGTCCTAGGAGCGACACAGAAACACTTCAGTGCGCTGTACTGAATGTCACATGCTGGCCGAACACAGGAAGAAAACACTAATATTGCACAGAACGTTTCTCATTCTATTTGAGTAAGAAAGCAAATAAGTGACACTGTAGAAAGAGAATCAGGACAGTTTAGCATGGGACACTGTCGGCTATTCAACATCCAAAATTACATTAAATTCTTACAGAATACATTTTAGATATGTAGAAAAATACTTTAAATTTAGTTTGGGCACCAGGTCGGACTGTGGTGTGCGTGGGCCCCAGGCACTTTCACTCTGACGTGCAGAAGGAGGGGGACATGCCAGTTGAATGACGTCGACTGACATGATGCACTTTAAACTCTTCTCATGCTGAACCACATGACTGACGGAGTCGAGCGACCATCACTCCGATACCTTAGTTTCTAGACTAGCTGTTAGAGAGCGGATAGTTATTGATTTGGAGGTCCTGGAGTCGATCGCAAGCAGGTTGTTTCAGCTCGTTTTTCGTCAGTCACTAGTGTTTCCCTCCTCCGTAGCCCTAGGCCCTGTTTAGACGCACTGTCCTTCTGCTGATGGGACTTTTTTTCTAGTTACCTTCCATTTTGCAGTGGCTCGCCTGAAAACGTTGTTTATTCGCTGAATAATCGAGAACTCGATTTCTTTTCTCTTGAATCTGTAGCCGATGCGCTGAAAAAAAAACCCAGAACTGATTAAAAACAAATCTGTATAAAATACACATTTGTGTTTCACAAAACCATAGTGGGAAGATGATACTTTCCAAAGGGAAATAATAATAATTGCTTTCTGACTGAGGATGATAACAACCCTTCAGGAGACAAGCCTGCTTGCCAAAATCAACTTACCTGTCTTCTTTTTTTGATCAGCTCCAAAGCATTAATTTCGTACTGAAAAACAGAGTGAAAAAATCTTTAGGATTCGGGATGTGTGTTGTATGTCACTACCAATATGAAACAATTTTAGTAAAGACTCTTTATGCACAGCTGGGCTCCTAAGGAATTCAGACTTGTGACTGACAGCCACTACATAAGGAACCGTGTTGACAATGAGATAAATCCGTCGATTCTACGACGAGTTACGAGTTCTACACTGCGGTTAATCCGAGACATTCCGCTGTACAGACAACAGAGCATTCCTGAGGTAAAATGGTGAATATACACCCACCTGGATATACGTGATGAAGTCTTCTTTGCTAATGATTCTCCTGTGTAACTTGTATTCTAGAGCCGTTGCTTTTTTAATCATAGCCCTGGAAAACAACACGTACAGGCGTCAAAACTTCCTTTCCCTGCTATAAAATTGGGCTGCAGTTACCTCACAGAGGCTTAGTCAAAAGCACGGACAAATGCCATCACTGAAGTAAAACCGATTATGAATAAAAAGACTTTGCCTAAAATTCGAGGGTAGGATCGAGGTACAAATGACCAAGCTCTTTTCTGTCACCTCCGAGAAGAAAACGTTCACCCTACATTAGTAATAACTATATGACACAATTTAAATTAGAATTTATTGTAAATTATTCGTGTCATTGGAGACTGACGTGACCAAGTATTATCAAATTAAACCATAAAATTATTTCAACAAAAATAATCCGTTTCCACTGACATTATTAACTGCCACAGTGTGTTTTTGAGCTCAGTGTCACCAAAATACAACTTACTTCACTTCTTTTTTCGTGAATAATCCCACTCTTTCCAGCTGTTCCAACTCAGGGATTCTGTCCTCTATCCTCTGCTGGATTATTTCAGCCATCTTGTATAATTATTATGTCGCTATCGCTATTACTGTGATTGTTTTGTTCTTCCTTCTCCAGAAATTGAAGTAATACTTGACTGTTACAAGCTTCTCTCGAATGATGTACACATGTGTGGAAATTGTGACCTCCTCTTCTTCCGGTCCCACACTTTTACAGTACCGGACTGAAACATTGACTGTAGGGCTAAACATCCGGTAAACTTAGCACACGAAATGTGAAGAAAAGTCATAGTATTAGGCATCGCAACCCATTTGAAACGTACAAAATATCTGATTTCACACAAGCCTAATTAACGTTTAAAGATATTCTTTTTCAACACAGTTAGAAAGCCAATATGATACACGGACTCTAAAGATGAATGTAAAATCTAGCCAGGGAGGGTGACATGTACTGTACGTTGATGCGTACGAGAGTTCAAGACTGCAGTGGGAAACAGAGAGAATGGACCAGGTTTCTTTGGTGGTATTATACAAACCGTCACATTCTTAATACTGAAAGAGCAGTATCGACGAAGGCAAACATGCCTTTCCGGCAGGGTGACCTCTAACGTCGTGAGCTTTCTGTGCTGTTTCTCCAAGCTGCAGCTCGGAGCACAATTTTCCCTACGCGAACAGAATAGAAACTGCTCGCGTGTCTGGCCTGTGTGGTTACTTCAGAACGCAGTTAGTGTATCTCTTGTGTGTGCACAATAATTTCAAGACGATGACTTGATGGATCACAAGGGACCTTCATCATAGTAGTGATTATGAGAATAGTACTAATTGATGGCACTTATATAGCGCCTATCACCCCAAAGAAGCCCAAAGCGCTTTATGTACAGGAGGGGACCCACCTGGGTCACATACAGCTGCCACTCCGTGCCAGAAGCCCCACTTCCACTACAACAGATCAGGTGAGGATATGAGAAATCGCTTCAGCAGTTGAAATCAGGAGGAGACCAGAGTTTAATTCAGCCAGGAAACTGCTGTCGATGCCCATATCTCCCAGCTGACAAACCCTACCATCCAGAAGTATCTTTTCTTTTAATTTCTTTTCCTCTCCATTTCACCAGGAAAGAAATATAGTGGACAAGTCGTCTAATCTATTAATCTTTATAAGCGCAAAAAAAAAAACGTTTTGAAGGAAACATCACAGTAAGTAAACTCATGAAGGGATTGTGTAATGCAGCAGAAAGAAAGTCCTGCCATTAAAACTCTGGTGGCTGAGGAGAAAACCAAGAAGGGATTTTTTTTCTTCAGCAATGGAAAAGAGCTGATCTCACAGCGAGCCTCAGTGTCATACAGGAGCTGGAATCAATCGGCGAGTCCTCTGCTCCGGGAATTAGAGCACCCCTCAGACAGAGGTGTTATCAGATGGTGGAGAGGAGCAGGCAGGCAGCTGGGGATTAGGCTGCCATGGCAACTGCAGCCCAGGAGCTGCCTGGGGGACGGCTGCAACCTGAGCCCACACCCCACCTCACCTGCGCGGAACAGAGTCACCTGTCCGCTGCTCGCCGGGGGGAGCAGCCATCTCCTTCCTATCAGGGCGTAGAAAATGGCAGAGCTCGGGTCCGAACACACACACTCACACGCCACCATCACCAGAGCTGGTGGGCGCTGTTGAGAAAATGTCCCCCCAATCCACTGCTGCTGCACGCATGTGAGTCCGGAGCGCCGGAGGAAAAGCAGTGCGCTCTGGTCTCGACAGATTGTTGACGGACCCCACTGGCCGGAGCCCAGCTTGGGCGGTCCCTGCTTGGCCTCATTAGGGTGAGACAGAAGGAGTCAGCTCAATCAGCACAGTCAGTTCAACACCATCTGCCTACATTTCAGCCAACACATACAGCCATGAGCATCTTTCACTTGCTGTCTGTGGGAGACTGCTGCAGAAAGGGCACAGTTTACATCCAGGTCAGGGGGAAGAGCACCCCTCTCCGCACAGCGCACCCCTCTCTACACTGAGCACCCTTTCTCTCTTCATTTAAGGAGAGCAGGGAGAGTTGTTGTTTAAGTCTCACTGTCCAGAGCAGCTGGATCCAGTTCAGACTCACTGGCCGCAGGCGCTTGTGTGAAAGCCAGCCAGCCCCAGTGCTGCAGTTCTGAGAATGTGATCTGACACACACAGTCTCATCGGCATGATCCGAGCAGCAGCTTGTAGCTCACCGGACCTGCACTGGGTCACAGTGCTGTCCAGTGGGAGCTTGGACACAGCTGGGAGCCCCTGCTCTTCAGTGTCTTGTGGGGTCACATGAGTCTACACTTTCTGGCCCTTCTGTTAATCCAAATACGCGACTTGGGCCCAATAGCCTGCCCTGTTTGGTAAACACTCATCTTGAGCCCCTTTCAGACAGTGGTGCCCAGCACTGCGCAGGGTATCAGATGTGAAACTGTGTGATGGTGATGCCTGACTTCATCATAACCTCTGGACCTGTACGCTTTGCTCAGAGACGTGTAGTATTTCCAAGAATTCAATTATACTTTGGGTTTCGTTTTTCATTCAAATTTGCGAAATGATTAAAGGTTATTTATTTTGGCATGGCACCAAAGAGGAGGGTCTACAATTATTTTATCTCTAGGCCCCATGCAAACGCCAGAGGTTGTGTCGCTCGGGCGTTGCTAGGCTAGCCTGAAGCGAGCTCCCGTGCACCCGGCGGGTCGGCGGCGCGCACTCGAATGACTGCAGCGCCCATGATGCACCGCGCCGGAGCAGCGCGATTTCCCGCAAAATCGTTTCAAAGAGGAAAGGAGCGCGAGCGGCAAACTGCCTCCTCCACCGAACTCGTCCTCCCGGACCCAGGGACGCGACTGGCGGGGCGTTCGGCCAATCACGACGCGTCTCTCCCACCCCCCTCGCTGCCCGGGCTGGGAGTTCTCCTTCTCCCATTGGCTGTGGCGGGGAGCCGGAGGTGGGCGGGCGGCGGCCAGCGGGTTAGGCTGAGCCTCGCGAGCGAGGGGAGTTGAGCGGAGTTTTGTCTGTTTTTTCGGGGGGTGCCGTCGTTTATGTGTATTTATTTTACCTCCGCAGTATTCTCCCCTGCGTCGTACCGCTTCGTTTCTCAAGGTTAACTGGAAGACGCCGAGGACGAAAAGTGGGGAGAAAGAGGAAAACTGAAGGAGCCGCAGGGAGGGAATTTGAAATTAACCATTTAAAACCGCCCGTAATAATTCTTCATGGCTTCTCCCGAGCTGCTACAGAGATACCGCACTTAGTTGGTGGTTCCGAAGAGGAAGCTGAAACTCGTGTTTTTTTTATTTTTTTATCCCATATTATAGATTCGTCTATATATATATAGTAGATTTGGGTGACCTGCCTGTGCGTTTAATGGTTAACATTTAAAACTCGAATGTTAGTACGCCGATTTCTGATTCTGGTCAAGAAAAATAAAACAGGTCTCCGTGTCCTTTGTTTTGAACCCCCGATTTGAATCTTTACATTTTTTGCTGTTAGTGTTTGTTTTGGGTTTTTTTTACCCTCCCCCTTCCCCCCTTGCGGTCGAATGGCTCCGCAGAAGCACAGCTCTGCAGGCGGCGGTTCGGGCTCGGGTTCGGGCTCGGCTCCCGGTCTGGGCTCCGGTACCGGCGGCAAGGCGAACGGCGGAGTCTACCCTCCCTCCGCCGCGATGGCCGCGGTGAAGAGGCCGAAAATAGACCAGCTGCAAGCCGACCATGAGCTGTTCCTGCAGGCCTTCGAGAGTGAGTGGCCCGGGGCTCGGCGCGGCCGCGGCTCCCGGCCCGGGAGAGGGGTTCGCTGGGCGGGGAGGAGCGCACACGTGTGGGCCGGCAGCTGGGGTCTCTCGCTGGCCGGCATTTTACCGTGCTTTCGTGTAAATATCGCGGATTCGGGGGAGGGGGGGGGTGTTTTGCTTGCTCGCTCGCTCGCTTGACGCTTTGCTGTGAAAATGTTTATTTCTTTAGAAAACGGCGAGCACATGTGCCATGAGGAGCCCCCAGTTACCTGCGCCCCGCTTTTCTCGTTTGTTTCTGCGTGTAAATCTCCGTTCGACGTGTTTTAATTTGTGTGTGTGTTTGTGCGCGACTGGGTATCGGCGGTCAGCTGCCTCGGATGGCAGGAGTTGACCTGGTGTCCGGGGTGGGTAAGGTCGGGTCGTACCTGACAGCGTGGGTCGTGAACGCCTGTCGGCTGAAACCGCTGGTGGAGGACTGCTGTAGGCAGGTCCCTCCATGTTCCCGGCCAGCGTGAGGAGCTGAAAAACGTGAGATAGTGAACTTCATGGGCTACAGCTCGGTATCGCCGCTGGGCTTCGGGGGGGGAAAGTATTTTAAAAGGCAGAAACCGATCTAGGTCTGTAAATATTATTTTGACCTTTTGGTAAAAATGTAGAAATGTTAGTGGAGTTTATACACGTGTTGATGTCGTGCCTTTAAAGGGAGTCGGGTTCAAACCGCTGTTTTCGTCAAATAGGGGAATGGGTGAGGTTTGGGGGATCTAGCTGGTTAACGACCTTGTGTTGTAGTTGGCGTCGAGCAGCGCTGTTTAAACGAAAATGTTGCCCACGGGCGGTTGCTAATTGAGCCCGGTTCGTTCTGCTCTGCCAGCTGTAGAACTGCCGGATTTGGGTTTGGTGCTGAACGGTACACTTCCTTTCTCTGTGAACCTGCCCGGATGCAATGCGCAGGAAATCTGATCGCTGTGCTTTAATAAACTTTTTGTTTGTGTTAAAGCGCGTTTGTTCTGCTGCGTGTTTCGCTTAACTGGAAACACCGCGGTCCCCGAAAATCTGGAAATGAGCTCATGAAACTAGTTTTTTTTTTCTCGGTTGACAGAAAAGCATACATTATAAGAATCCCCGTGATACGTCTTGTACGTCTCCAACACATCAGAAAGTAGAGACACACGTCATATCCCCTGGTGATCGCTGGGGAGAGACGAAGAAACGGTCGTTCACATTTGCCGGTTGATGCACCAAAAAATTTGTTTTCACAAGTGGGGAATATGATGTGCCTTAATATAAGCAAAACGGGTTTGGCGAGCCTTGCAGGTGTTATTTTGCTTTATAAGCGTTTTCTTTGAATTCTGCTTCAGACTAGGGAAGTGTCCCCTTGATGCCCAGTCTATGTTTTGTTGAAACCTGACCGGGACAGGAAAACGCAGTCTCTTCTGACTGGGTCGCTTTGCAAAGTCTTAAGATTAAATAAAACCATAGCTTCATGAGCTTAGGCAGACCTGGTTTATTACATTGCACTTAAACATTAGCAGAAGCGCACAAGGGGTGTTCCTTGTGGGCATGAGGTCTCCACTGTCCAGTGAACTATTTAATACACAGATCCGTAGGGACTCTGCATCTAGACTGCTTGTTCACAGCTCATTATATAGCCCGTTGGACATGGGTGAGGCGTGGACTCGCTTTAGGCAAGTTTGGACAAACGGGTGTCGTGCTCTTTGTTAGGGATGCTGAATTCCTCCTCATACGTTTATTTTCCTCTTCTTGACAGAGCCGACTCAGATATACCGGTTCCTTCGCACGAGGAACCTCATTGCGGTAAGTCTGGTGGGGGGTTCTGAAGAAGGAGTGTTTGCTGTAACTTGTCATGGCCACGGCCAGGCGCTCGCCGTCTCAAGCCCCGGAGAGTTTCCCTCAGTCCGGTCTGCTCGGGCTGCAGGGAGAGCAGTGCTTGGTGTCTCGCGCCCCTGCGTTTTCCCTCACGGAGGTCGTTTTATTTTTCAGCCCATATTCCTGCACAGGACCCTCACCTACATGTCCCACCGGAACTCCAGAACAAACGCCAGAAGGTAAATGCAGGCTTTTCAAAGACGCCTCCTGGTCCGTTTGTGACTGGAAACTGGGTCTGTCCGCGCGCCGTGACCCACTAAGCGGAAAAGAGAGTTTCCACGGCTTGTCTAGTGCCTCTCCAGCCTGTGTTATCTGCCTTTGCCTATCGCTAGCTACGCCTCTCTTGTAGGATGTATATTTTTGTGTGCTCTATATAGGTAGTCTGTCTTGTTTCCATCTAGAAAGGGCAGTTTGGTTGTAGGAAAATCTCGGGAATTAAGCAACAGCTAAACTATCGAAGCGTTGAGCAGTCAGTCATGGTGTTGAGGCTGACAGCCCGGCTTCCTTCATGAAACAGCTGAGATTGTGGGATCAGTTGGCTACTAACTGCCAAGCGAAGGCTGGATGGGTCAATGGCTCCTCTTTTGTAACCTTTCTTGTGTGCTTTAAGGATTGGTATCTGAAATTTACAGCCTTTTCTCTGTGATGACATGACTTGACCAGAAACTCGTTTAGAGCTGTTTATTCTCCAGCCCTGCTGTTTTGTAGAATAAGGCCAGACCCAGAAAAGCAGTGGGTCTGTACTGTGAGCTGGAAAACACTGCAACTCGACATCGTGTCTCAATTTAAATGTTCAGCAGAACTTCCTTTAGTTCTTGAAGCTGTCCTTTAAGCCAAATAAAAAGCTGTTACTAAAGTAATAGGCGTTATGTGAGATTCTGTTTTTGAAAAAAAAAAGCACAAAAACCTCTTTCACAACCCGACCCTTGCTTGCGTGAATGCTTTAGTTTTGCAGTTTAATCTTTAAGACGTAGGTGAATTTTCTCCTCTTGTAGGTTAAAATAAAACACAGTTACAAAATGACAGATATTAGAACCTGTGAATTTGTATGAGAAGATATGAATTGAATCTTCCTTATTCTGTCTAACACGGAAGCTCATAAATTAATACAATTACTGTGCACCAGGATGTTTCCAAAACAGTATTTTCCAGGTTTATTCCTGTAGATTTTATTTTCAAGAACTGCGCCGAAGTGGCCCCGGTGCAGTTCTCTGTCTTCTGGGCTTTATGGTGCAGCCCTGCTGGCTCACAGCGCTCAGTAGTGCTTCCATATGTTGTGAGAGGCTTGAAGTTCCTCCTCCTCTGCAGTGCCCTGTAAACGGTGCGGATGAAAGGAAGCCCCCTGTGGTGGCAGGAGTAGGAGGGCCAGGGAATGCGATAATGGCGCTTGGGGTTCCAGGAGCCCTTTTTGGTGGGTTGTCATAAGAGATGAACCAGACGTGCTGCTGCTGTTGAACCCTTGAGCAGTAGAAGAAAAGGCCAGTTGAACCGATGGTATTGCAACCCTTTCTTCATAGGCTGGTCACGTTTTCAAGTCATCGATCGGAAGTTGTTTAGGTCGGAAGATAACTTGACCTCGTCCAGCGGAGGCTCGAGAGATTCCCACGGCTTGTGATTTTAAAGAGACCAGGAAGCTCGTGTCTTTTAAGTCTCCCTGGGACAGAGGTGACGAGAGCTGTGCTGTGCGGGGAAGTGATCTGGGCGCAGAGCTTCACGCTTCGCGTCTCCTCCACGTGGGTTCAGAGCAGGATCAGGTTCAGATTTGGGCTTTGACAGATGGGCCGCAGTTAACAGTGTTCGTATCGAGGTGTCGGTTTAGAAGCCGTATAAGTGTGCCGAAAAAAATAAAACGCTGAAGTTTTTGCTTATTTAAATGTATTTCTGAGAATTGTGCCTTGATGTGTGAGGTTTTGCACCAGCTGCAGAAAGGCTGAGGTTAACTGCTGTGCTTTTATAGGTTAACCTGGAGGTACAGCAAGAATGGCAGTGTTAGGGGGTGAAGAATGAAGATGTTGGGTGTTTGTGTCTTGGTATGTTCAGTGTCAAAACAAGGAGATCTTACACTTGGCGTTACTGAAGAGAGTTCATTAGTACTGTTATTGTCTCCAGGGTGGTAAGCAAGAGCTTAAACAGTATTGTAGTGGAACATAAGTGTATGTTGAGCACTGCTCTCAGGTATTTTAGTGCTTCACTCTTTGCTATATACAAACACAGTTGTAGTTGTTTTGATTGCATATTGTGCTAGTCATTCAGCTTTTTTTTTACTAAAAAAACCTCCAAAACGCGTTTTGTTCACTTTAAACCATGCATGTGATTTACGCTAGAAATGCTTTGAGCATTTAACAATCTTGTATTAAATGTGTAATTTGGATGATTGTTTGAGTGATTGTCGGGGGGGATTATTGGATTAAAGTAAGGGATTATATTACAGAAACCTAAGGTAGTATTTGCTCTAGGGTCTCCTGTAATTATCCAGACATCTGCCCTGGAAGTTATTCATATAAGAGGTAGTTTGTTCTCTATGGGGAAACGGTGCCGACAGTAAGGTTTACAGTCTGAAATCTTTGTGCGGTTTTGCTTAGTAATTGTTAATATTACACATTTAATATTGGCTCTTACCTAAAAAAAAAGTATTTAAACTTTCTATATAGGCTTTAAGTGACAGGTTTAAAAAATTGAAACCAGATGGATTCTTGCTTTGTATTTAAATAGGTTATTTTAAGTATTAAAATGGAGTATATCTCAGTGCGGATGCTTCACAGTTGCCTCTGTTGATGAAACAAGACAGCAGTGAAGGGTGTGCAGCCTGTTTCTAGCCATAAGCATTATTTAATAAGACCACTCCAGCTCGTTCCTGAAAGATTCCTGTGGGCCGGCGAGTTGAGGGTTACCCTTTCTCAGACCAGTGCTGAAGGCCGAGAAAGGGTCTTGTCTTCTTCAGCACTTCCTGTATCTTCGTCAGGGTTTTAAAAGTCCAAGGCAGACCCCTCTGTTATTAACAGCACCCCCTGTGTTAATAGGCAGCACAGTATCATCAAATGCATTAACTCTTTTATAGTCTTATCTGGGGATAGTTTGACCAAACTTTAAGGTGGAGGAGAGGTGTGTTCACAGAGCTGCCCAAGACTTCAGAGCACCTAAGTAATTGGAGCCATTATTCTAAACCAGTACATTAACTGTATTGGGTGTGTTATTGTGTGCTCTATTCCAGAAGGAACCTTTCTCTTAACCATTCCTTATGCGGAGCACCTTTTGGCATGTGGCATTGTTAGGGAGATTGTTTTCTTGAGACTTAGTAGTTTTCAGTCGGTCAGAACCTGTTTGCACAAATCCATGCTTTTCTAGATAGAAGAGTTTGTTTCTTCGTTGCCCTGGCCCTGCGTGTTATTGGCTTGCCCAGTTCGGGGAAAAGTTGCGGTTTATTCTGTGGATTTCTGTTCAGGAGGAACAACCTGTTCTCGGAGATTCCGTGAAAGCTTGATTAAATCGTGCTGGTTAAAGCTGTACGAGAGTATTGGTGCTAGCTGGTGGTTTGTGCTACAGCTCATTGGGAGATTCTGCGTTATGTAGAAGACCTTACTTTCCCCTCTGAAGTCTTGCGCAGTGTGAATGCTGATCAATATTATTGAGTCAAGTTGGCTGGGGTCAGTTCCCAGAGAACAGCAGTCTGCCCAGTTGAGATCATGGGCTTCTTTTCATGCTTGTTCTGTCCGTCATAAGAATACTTCTGTATTTTCTTTAAATTGAATAATTATTGGACAAGAACCTGTTCATTAGACTGATAACACTGTCGTTTCCTGTACATGTTTTAAACAGGTTTCTTTAAAAAGCCATTCAAAAAGTTATTTAGCTGTTTTTACTGGTGTACTTATTTTCCTGTCAGATAGCCTGAAACACGTAGAGCACTAAATGTCTAGAGCTTTTTTTGTAATTCCTAGGAAAAGAGACTTATTTAAATGATCAAACCTGCTTGTGGGCTCTTTTTACACAACTGCTGTGCTGTACTCCTGTGCAAGTTCATTGGAGGTGATGGACTGCAGTGAGCAGTGTGAGCAATGTGTATCTTGATGACAAAAACTGTCTGTGGGCTTTAACGAAGATTGTGTGGTAGTAAGAGGGTACATTGTGTTAAAGTAAGATGGAATCTTAGTCACTTGGTGACTGTTGTCCTCCCACATACTTGAGAGGTGGTTACTGAGTGCAAAATTATGGAAAAAAAAATATAATGAAATGTTTTTTTCTTAATCTATAAAGCATTTTTACAACTCGGTCTCATTGCAAGGCATGTGGAGATCTGCTTTGTAGTGATCTTCTTTTGATTTCGTTACACTTGGGCTGTGTTATTCAGTGTTGTCTCAGGGATAAAGATCTTGCCACCTTCATCTGAAGTAAGGATTACATGGCTATTACAGTCGCATCTTTTCAGTAAAAATGTGCTCGTGTACCTTGACAGTTTTTCTCTGTTAGTCTTTTCCCTCACAGGCCTGGTACACAGTGTTGCATATTTCTAGTATTTCCTAGTATTAACTGTTAAACCATTGTCCTCTTTTCTCAGGAGGTCTTTCAAAGTGGATGACATGCTGATCAAAGTGGAAAAAATGAAGGGAGAACAGGAATCTCACAGGTATCTTTTCACTTCGTATCGAAAACATCTATTCTGTCCTTCGCCGCGATATGAGACATCATGTTCTCTGCCATCCTAATTGTTTTGAGTATTTGGGGGTTTATGATTCTTGACTGAAGTGGCAGTATACCCCTGGCCCCATGGTTATATTGAAATTTAAAACAAAGTACAATTAAAGTGGAAACAGTTTTTTTTATGTCACAAGTGCTACGTGCTACTTGTCGTCATCTGGTTTTACTTTTCTTTCTACAGCTTGGCTTCACACCTGCAGCTCACATTTACTGGTTTCTTCCATAAAAATGGTACGTTTTTGTTTTATTGACTTCAAAAAGGATTACTCCCATTAAATGTTGTCAAGCTCTGAGCAGCAATTGGCTAGTCTGTGTCGTGGTGGGGGGGAGAGCCTGCTGTTGTGATATCGTTTTAACGGCTGTGTTTTTGTTAACCTGCTTCAGTCCGGCTTCCGTGCCCAGCTGTATTGTACTCCAGGTCCTGGCCACTGCCTGGACTTGGTAGCTGAAGGTCACAGATGCCTTGCTGTCAGGCGAATGTGTTTTGGTTAACGCTCTGCTTCTGTACAGGGAGTAAGAAGTATTACACCTGCCTGAGTCTTCAACAGTGTGTTTCCTCAGTCACCTTGGAATGTGTCCTCTGAGCAGTGTGCCCGCTTACGCTGATATTTAAAATCGCCTCGACTCTAATAAAATGCCGTTTCTCTTGCAGTGCATCCTTCTTTTCTTGATAATACTTATAATAATATTCAAGTTAAATTCGCTAAAACCCTTAGTTCATGAAGCTGATGAGGATTGAATCTGAAGTATTGTCCTTCACCTGCCAAATTACTGAATTCATCTCACAATCATTTTAAAAGGCTGGCATTGTGTACAGCGTTAGGGGCTACTTCAACTTCGCTATCCATAGCCCTGTGCAGGAGTCAACATTTCTTTTACTGTAGCCTTTTACGGTCTAATTTTTTACTTATGTGTTGAAAAGGAGGGAATAAAGCTGTGAATAAATGTTTTGCAGTTAACTTATTTATATCAACAGGGATTTATTTAAATGACTCATTTAAGATAAGGTTAAGTGTAACTTGTGTCCTCATTTAATCATATTGTGATCAGGTGGCATAATATTACAAGCAGAGGTTTGTAAACTTTGACTTCTCAGCAGTGAAGAATCAGGATATGCATATTTTACCTTGTATTTAGAAAGTCTGTTCATCACAAATTTATTCAATGTCACCTTGGATCTTAGCATTCAGTTTTTCGTCAGTGAGCATTTGAAGGTGAGAAGAGTGACTACTCTTAATGTGTTTTTAATCATTAGCAGAGATCAGTTACTGCCAGGTTATTGACACTCTAGTAATGCTGTTAATCTATTGTAAGTTGTATACTGTGAGGGAAAAGTTATATATTGTGAGATCTGCAATGCCATATCTAAAGCTTTAGCCTAGAGTGGTTTGGCTCAGTATCCCAGTTTCAGGACATACTAGAGTGTGCACTGCTACATTAAGGAAGATGCAGTCATATTTCTGCCTTATGTGTTTTTGTCCCTCATGTGCTGAAAACAAAGTAGTAGAAGCTTTTTAACCTGATTCAGATGTTAACTGCTCTGTTTTAATTTCTAGCAGTTGTATTTAAAAGTTTATTAAACAATGTGGAATAATGCTTTCACAAGTACTTTAAAAAGTCTGTTATAGATGGCACTTTTTGTCAGTGCCACTGCTTAACCTTCCTGTTGATGCTGTAATACTAACATACTTCTGCTTGGTGCATTATACTGTTCAGAAAGATGTTTGGCTCTAACTGAAATTCTGTGCTCCAAGATTCACTGATGTGGACTGCAAATCAAAACTTTTGACTATTTTTTATCGTCTTCATGCCAGCCCTCCTGTTAATGCAGATCTGTTTTTAAGAAAAAGCAGTCTGACGACGAAAATCTAAATTTAATGGTATTTTTTTTCCAGAAAAGCCATCACAGAACTCTGAGAACGAACAAAATTCTGTGTCTTTAGAGGTGCTACTCGTTAAAGTCTGCCATAAAAAGCGAAAGGTAAGTGTTAATCATACGATGTTAGCTGACGCTACGTGCTCAACAGCTGTAACAGTGCTCTCACGTAATTGTTTTGTTGCAATTACTAATTATCACCTTTTCTCTCTTTTGGAAAAAGTCTGTGTTCAGCTGCAGGATAAGCAAGAGAAATCTGGACCCGAGCATTTTCTGTTTCAGAATGCTTTCTTTTATGTTGGTGTTTAAGTGGTTGTGATGAAACCGCTTGACTCCCCTGAACGTGACTTGTTTCCTCTGATTCCTCGTGTGCTTTCTGCTGTTCTGGCCTGCGCCTCTGCTCAGCTGCGGGGGTTTCTCCTACAGCCAGATGACTTTCGCGTAGTGAGTCATGGCGGTGTCACTGTACGGCCGTAGGTTTTGTGCGGGCAGCTAGGCTGGACGGGTCCCCCTCACTGAGCAACACCTCCGCTTCGTTCGGTCAGCGCTGAGGCAGGGCTGTCTGGCAGAGGGGCGACTCACTCATGCTGGTGAAATGTTAATGAAATCCCCTCATCGAAAAACATGCGTTTGAGCCGCTGCCAGACTTTAATATGTATTTTACTCCCTTTCATGCTAGAAATGTTCTAACAAGTAAATAGCAATGTGGTTAGTAGTAGACCAATAAGTAATATTGGTCAAAAAATAATAAATTAGTAATGTAGATTGACAGAATACAGGTGTTGACTTCTCTCTGCAGCACTTCTTGGTCTGTTATGGATGTTGGGATCATTATGTTCCAGTTTTCCTAAAATAACTGGTAAAAGTTATGTGGCTTCTCCTTGCTGCTCTGTAGGCAGCCATGATTAACTTGGAAAAATTTCGTAGGGATCAATTGCGTACGTGATATACAAGATGGTTTGAAGCAAAAACATGAAAACCCTTCAGTGTTCAAGGATCAGAGTTTTAATTGAACAAATTATCTTTTTGCTTAGTCATTTACAAGAAAGGGCCGGGTGATATGATATCATATTTGTCTTGACTACTAGGTTGATGGGGACATGTTGTGTATTTGACATTGAAACATCTTTTAAAATGTGGATTATTTGATATTTTCCTTTCTTGTCTTAAATCTGATAATGACAGATAATTACTTGATACACTCCAGTAAATTGTGACAAGACTATAAACTCTCAGCTTCCACTGTGCTAGAACTGTTTTCTAACTATGAGATCGGCCTTTATAAAATATTTATCTGGAATCTAGGATAGTTTACAACAGAGGAATTTCCCATCCTTTTGTCACCCCATCCCAGCCTTTCCTTTGGAATGGTGTAACTGCCCCTCTTTGTGTCCTTTTATAATACAACCCTAATTCACTGCTAGCATCAGCTCCTGACTGGACTGTTTGACACTGAAGGAGAATTACAGCATTTAATACAGGACCATCTTATGTGTGTATATTGCATTTCATTTGTACTTATGCATCTTTTTGGGTGCATCGCCCATCCCTGGTTGGGTGCTTTAGGGCTTGATACCAGCAGACAGAATTAAAACAAACTTCAAAGAACGGAGTGAATATTGGTACACGCACAGGCAGTGTGTGACGTGCTGCACTGTGCACTGTCGGAAAACCTCACCTTCGCTTGAGGACGAGGAGCCCAGACCGCAGTCGTTCAGGATCAAGGCAGAACAAAATTCTGACTTCTACAGACGCCAGAACTACTTTGCATGTGTTGCGTAAATCACTTGTTTTAACCTATTTTTCCTCCCTGTCGGCATCATCTGCTGACAAGCAAATTAAATGTGGTTCTGATTTACTACTAGGCTCTTCCAGGAACAGGCTCTGATGACATTCTTGGAACCTCAAGCTACTAAGAGCTCGAGCGTGATGGGTTGAATGGCCTCCTCTCCTTCGTAACGTTCTTTATGTTATTATGTTCCTATCTGTGAATGTGCATGTGTGCAATCGGGAACAGGCTGTTAACCTCACTGAAAAGTGGTGCTGGTCCTTATTTTATCTGTAGGCAGACTGTGCAAACGGCAAGTCCGTAGCAAAGCAAACGGGTCTCTGTTTTTCCACGGTTTTCCTACATTGAAAACTGGGCCAGCAGTCTGGAGCCCGATTGTTAATTGAGGCGCTGCGAAAGGGAGGCTGAACACGTCTTTTCTGTTTCCAGGATGTTAGTTGCCCAGTGAAGCAGGTGCCGACGGGTAAAAAGCAAGTGCCTCTGAACCCCGACAGCAGCAGCAACAGCGGTGGCGGCGGTGGCGGAGTTGGCCAGACGAAGCCTGGCAGCTTCCCCTCTCTGGCCGTGTCCAGCAACGAGTTTGAGCCCAGCAACAGCCACATGGTCAAGTCCTACTCCCTGCTCTTCAGGGTCACCCGGCCGGGGCGCAGGGAGGTCAACGGGGAGGCCAACGAGAACATTGGCAAGTGCTGGTCTCCGGGAGAGGTCCGCCGGCCTGCCTCGAGAGTTAATTGGAAACACAGCTGCGGTGTTGGGGTTTACGAGGCAGCTTGAGGAGGAAGAAAAGGGCGGGCTTGCCTCATGCTTGCCGCATTCCCTGTTCTGGAACTTATTTCCTGTGGGAATTACGATAGGTGGACGTGTCTCTTGTAGCTGCGGTTAGTTCTTCGGGAGTCTGTCTCACAACAGTAAGTAACTATTTATCTGCTGGACTCTTCTAGATGTTATAGAAGAACTTCCGGCCAGGAAGAAGAGGACCTCTTCCCACCGTGAGGATGGGGAAACGACTTTTGTGGCACAGATGACGGTGTTCGATAAGAACAGGTAATCAAGGTGGCAGGATCTCCACCAGCATAATCGGAGAAAGGCCGTTGCTTCTTCTAAACTTTGTTTTATTACATATTCTATGAGCAAGTCCTTCCTGTTAGAAAATCATGCTTTTTTAACCTGGCAGTCAGGTTGCAGTCCCTGTAGGCAGTAGAACATCCTCATTTCCATCCATTACTTCTAAGGAATTGCTGCTTTTTAATACAATTACAAATTTACATTTGTACGCTTTGTATAAGTGGATTGTTTTCCATTATGGTGGTAAGTGATGCATCTTTTCTTTTACAAACCTGTGCAGTGACTCTTGCTGGTGATTATCTAAACAAGTGCCACATTGTTCTCCAGAGCACGATTCCTGTCTGTGCCACTTTCTTAAGGCCCCTTGTGGAGCTCAGAGTTGATGTAGCGGCTATTTCAGAAATACAGGAAATGGATTTTATCAGAGTTGCTCAAAACCACAGAGGCGGGGTCCTCGTGTTAGAAGCACATGACCTTTTGCTGGACTAACAGTAATGACCAGGCAATTGATGCTAAAAGCTCTGCCTTTTTTAGTGGAGTTGTGATGCAGCAGGAGAAGGATAGATTTGTCATCAGTGTGAAAGTGTCGTGACAACACGTGGGGGGAATATGACAGCTGAGACACTGCTGTGTATATTGCTGAATTGTTCCTGTAATTATTATTTTTAGAGGAGTTTCACTTTGGAGGCAATATACCTAGTTTTTTCTGTGTGTTTCCATGCAGAAGCCTCAGGCTTCCACGCACTGAAGAGTCAGGGACCGCAGACAGAGTGTGCTGTTTGCTGTTGTGAAGTCAAGTCGGGTGTAATTCGTCTGCATGTTTTTTAACGGCCTGTTCTGTGAATGAGCTCTGGGTGTTTCCGTAGGCGCCTGCAGCTGCTGGACGGAGAATATGAAGTGTCAATGCAGGAGATGGAAGAATGTCCAGTCAGCAAGAAGAGAGCAACATGGGAGACCATCCTGGATGGGAAGGTATCTGCCAGACAGTGACCGTACCCCCGGAGGTCTAAGGTCATTTTACTGTTGATTGCGGTCTTATGAAGTGTTCCCAAGTGACAGTCTGGGGAATACAAGTGTGGACCAGTACGCGCTATTGGGAGGTTCTAGGACAGTGCGCTTGTTTCTGATCCTGCTGGTAGGTGTTAAATTAACCCAGTGAAGCATGTTAATTAGAGTGAGGAGCTCAGAGCTGAGGTGTACTACAAACTACACCCCATGAAGGATAGAACTTGGCCTTCTGATCTGATATTCCAGTGAAAGTTTGAAAATAGATTGCCTCGATCTCTGTAGATTTGAGATTTCTACTAGTGTTCTTGAGTATATCCCGATTTTATAAAGCAGTGTCGGACAAAGGGGTGATAAAAGTTTAAAAGGCTGGGTTTTGGCAGTTTCAAATTAACTTTTAAAGGGCTTGTCCCTAAGATTAGAAATTGCCAGTGGGCCTGGTTCGGGGTGAGCTTGCACATGAGCATGGCGCGAGCGGTGGATTCTTGCTCCTCTGGGCTCGCAGACGGTGACGGGATTGTTCACGTGCTGCCGCTTTCAGAGGCTGCCACCGTTCGAGACGTTCTCTCAGGGACCCACGCTCCAGTTCACGCTGCGCTGGACAGGGGACACTAATGACAAATCCACCGCCCCCGTCGCCAAACCCTTGGCCACCCGCAACTCGGACACCACCGCTGTGGAGAGCAGGCCCAGCTCCCTGAAGCCAGCTCAGACAGTAGGTAAGGCCGTGCGCCGCGCCGTCCCGGGACTGCTTCAGGCAGGCTGCTGTCCGCACAGTCGTGCACAAAGAGTGCCTGACAAGGGCCAGCCGTGCCCTGTGGATGTGAAATGATTGCATAACTCAAGTACGTTTCAAGCCTTTCGTCTGGGGTGACGCAGTGGGCAGGTGTGCTTGCTCCCGGCCCGAGGAGTGTTTGGGGTCCCCTGGGGCAGCCGACACCTGGCCCGGCGCAACTGGAGCTGGGATGGGTCTCGATGCCCCGTTTTAGACCGGTGGTTCAAAAGGTGAATCATGTCTTTTTGCAGCTGTTAAAGATTCCATTAATACGGAACTGCAGGCAAGAAGAGAGCAGATTACATATGAGCCTCGTCAGAAACTACGAATATTTTACCAGGTGAGGTGCTGCTTTCTGATCATTGCCCTGATAACCTTTGAATTCATTTTTTGTTAATGCTGGAGGAGTGTGTGGCGTTTAGTCCAGTGTGCTGCAGTGTGTCGGACCATGTAACCATCTGCGGAGCAGTCAAACAAATTATTCTTGGTAATAACAGAAAGCTGTCCTGAGTTAGACTTTGGCCTGTTACCTGCTACTACACCTTTGTTCACCTGGTTGAAGGCCCCTTGCTGAAGCTCCTGCTTCTGCAGCATTTCCTTCCACTTCTGTGCATGTTGTATAGCAGATATCACTGTCAATCCATTAATTATCAGTTAAAGACAACTTATTGGCTAAACCAGATCTTAGAATTGTCTGTGTGCGGGGGATGTTTTTTGGAAATTTGGAAGGACACATTCATCAGATGCAAACAGTGGGTAAACCAGCTGTGTGTAAACATCCAAGTTGCAGTAAATCTGTTCAGTGGGTTTATGTAGTGTATAACTGCTTATACGTGATTTGTGACGACTCTATCTCGCATCCATCGCAGTTCCTTTACAACAACAACACCAGACAGCAGACGGAGGCCCGCGATGACCTGCACTGCCCCTGGTGCACGCTGAACTGCCGCAGGCTCTACAGCCTTCTCAAACACCTCAAGCTCTCCCACAGCCGCTTCATCTTCAACTACGTGGTGAGAGCTGCTGGTGCCTCCGCAGGCCTGTCTGCCCCGGGCCGGGCTCTGTGAGCTGTTCCTCTGGGCGTGCCAGTTCGACAAGCAGCTCGCTGCGGTGCCCGTTTGTCCCAGGGCTGTTCCTCTCCCACTCTGCTGTCTCAGCCAGCCCGTTTTTGTAGTCGGACTTCCAGTGGTTTGGAGTAGCGGGTAGTGATTAAGCCACTCTATTATTGAAAAAGCTTCAGCAATAATAAGTCACCAACACTTGCCATGTACGGGAAACGAGGGAGGTATTATTCGTAACAGGTAATAAGTTCCTGTATAATAGGCTTTATACAGGGGCTCTCAAACGTTTAAGCGCCAATATATTGGTTGTAAATAATGAACTCTTACAAGCTACTCCTATAAAGAAAAACGGGTAACTATTGTAAGGGTTTGGGCAGTGAGAAAAATATATATATTTTTAAAAGGGTGGTACTGTAATGCATCTCGGTGTATTTGTACATTTTTTTTTTTTAGAAAGAAGGTTTTGTAGGGAAGTATTTGCTGAGCTGTGGTCTTGGATCCTCCTTGCTTGCTGTTGTTTTGTCTGTTCCAGAGCACTGCGCCCCCTGGTGGGGACCTTTTCTTCTCCTTAGCCTGTCAGGCAGGGCAGGATAGTGCAATCCGAGTCCCTTGTGACCTCGGTCACCAGCTGGTTTTAGTTCCAGCTGAGCTCTTGGTTAATTGTACTTCGGTTTTCATTAATACTTCAGTAATTAAACAATATTTTTTGTTCTCTGTCCCATAGCTGATTTGCAAGAGATTTTAAATTTGCCTATTCATTTTGAAAACGGCAGCTTTTTGTGAGTGGGGTAAATAAAAAAGGTATTAATCAGTCATTAGCTCTGAGGCACTCAAGAGTCTGGCTGAAATGAAGACCAGTAGACGTTGGGTTCTGCTGGGGATCAGGACAAAGACTGGTAGTCCCTGCTGTAGAGTGGACCTGCTGCCACTGACAGTACAGTGGTTTCTGCTCTCCTTTCCACTGCACTCAGTGAGCTGGCATCTCACTCTGTTCCCAGGAGCAGTTACAAGTCTACATGCAGAGCCTCTGTGCATTGAGAACTCTCAAAAGTAACCAAACGCCTGTTTTCCCTCAGCAGTCCCGTGGCTTTAACAGGGGTCGCAGCTATGGCGCTCTGTGTGGTTAACTTTGCGCTCCTAGTTTTGTTAGATGTGTTGGCACTCTGTCTCAGTGGTGCTTGCTTTTACACATCAGGGCTCCTGCTTCTGCGCGAGGCCTGTTTGTCAGTCACCGGTCCTTCCTTCCTTCCACAGCCTCACCCCAAAGGTGCTAGGATAGACGTGTCTATCAACGAGTGCTACGATGGATCCTACGTGGGAAACCCGCAGGATATCCACAGCCAGCCGGGGTTCGCCTTCAGCCGGAACGGGCCGGTGAAGAGGACCCCCGTCACCCACATCCTCGTCTGCAGGTGGGTCGGCGACCGCGCCTCCAGCCACGCGCGTCCGCCGCGCAGTCATGCGGTCTCCAGCCTCCTAACCGACTAATTACCGCGATCCGTCCGCAGCTCCAGTGCCAGTGGTGGTACAGGCCTTCAGCACAGTGTAGCCCTGCTCTGCTCTGAAAGACACTTAAATTAGGCAGTCAGTTTTGTATGGTAAGGTATTTTAGTATTGTAGGGTATTTTTGTCGTTGGATGTGAATCCTGAGGTTAAGGGCAGGGAGTGAGATTTTTTTCTTTGGTGTGTCATTAAATCTTCCATTAATTCTACATAAATTGGTTGTGCATTGAAGAACTGTTTTCTTAAATACTTGATTTCATGTGCCATTGTGTAGGTAGGTTTATGCACTACTTTGGTGGTCTAGTAGACTTGTCGCGAGTTCCGCAGAAAAGTGCTTTCTCTGTTCCGGCTGTGATCCGTACCGTTTGCCCCGAATCGCAGGCCAAAGCGCACAAAGCCCAGCCTGTCGGAGTTCCTGGAGTCGGAGGACGGCGAGCTGGAGCAGCAGCGCACCTACATCAGCGGCCACAACCGGCTGTACTTCCACAGCGACAGCTGCCTGCCGCTGCGGCCGCAGGAGATGGACGTGGACAGCGAGGACGAGAAGGACCCCGAGTGGCTGCGGGAGAAGACCATCACGGTGGGGCTGGGCGCCGCGGTCGAGCACCGCCTGGGTCACCTGCGCCGGCACCGAGGGCATGCAAGGCCCACGGGCATCAGGGCCCTTCGGACCGGAGCACACAAACTGAGATCCTTTTTTCAGTTTAATGCCTATTGTGCTTACAGCTCAGCTGTCATTCTTCTAGATTGTACAGTTTACTACACTTACCTTGCACGTCACAGCTAGCACTTAACTCGCAGCGCTTGTTATACGTAGTCAGGCTTGCCTTGTCTCGGATACAGGCCGTCACTGCGTGTCCTCGGTTCTGTTGGCAGAGCTTATTTTGTCTGCCGTTCGTGTGAAAAATTGATTTGGTTTCCTTATTTCTATTTTGTCCCCTATTCCACAGCAAATAGAGGAGTTTACAGATGTGAATGAAGGAGAAAAAGAAGTCATGAAACTCTGGAACCTTCATGTGATGAAGCATGGGTAGGTTTAAAACCAGGATTATTACCTCTGACGCTTGAATTCTTTGGAGAAAGCATTACGAAGCCAGGGGTTTTGAGGGACCATTAGGTAAAATCGGGAGAACCATTAATAATTTCTTACACTTATATAGCGCTTTTCAGGACACTCCACTCAAAGTGCTTTACAGGTAATGGGGACTCCCCTCCCCCACTACCAATGTGCAGCCCCACCTGGATGGATTAGAAATCAAATCAGGAGAAACGTAATTTCACAAAATGTTGTAGGGGTCTGAAACAAACTACCGAGCCTCATAGTCGAAGATGAGGCCCCAGCTTCTTTCAAGAAACAGCTGGGCGAGATCCTAGGATCATTTATCCACTAGCAACCACGTGAGCTAGATGTGCCGAATGTTCCGCTTTTCTTCGGTGTCTTGATCTTCTCCAGTGGGTGTTTTTTAATCACAAGGACTGTCCTGGTGACCTTTCGGTCCCACGAGGCCAACAGCTCCTCTGGGTCCCCCGGTGGCAATTCATGGCCTCTTTGTTTCTCTGCCCTTCCAGGTTCATTGCAGACAATCAGATGAATCAAGCCTGCATGCTGTTTGTTGAGAAGTGTGGGATGCAGATCACCGAGAAGAACTTGTGCCGGAACTTTCTCCTGCACCTCGTCAGCATGCATGACTTTAACCTGGTCAGTATAGTCACCATCGACAAGGCGATGGCCAAGCTGAGGGAGATCCAGCAGAGGCTAGAGAGGGATGTGGATATGGGTGACAAGGCCGGCAGCCAGCCGCCCTCCGTCGAGGAGCGGAACGGGGAGAACGGCCTTGAGGCCCCCTCGAGCGACCGGAGCCCCGAGCCCGACAGCGGCGCTGCTTTGGGAGCCCCCAGACACAACAAAAGGCAGAAACTCTGAAGCCGGAGCTCTTTACGGACTGAAGCGGACTGGGGCTGTGAGGGGTGGTCCGGGGTGGGGTGGGGCGGGGGCAGCAAAAGAAAATCTTGTTCAAAATTGAAATGAAAAAGAAAAATAGATTCCAAACAGGCACTGGGTACCAAGTAATCAAACCAGTGTTGGGCTGTGGAGCTAAATTAGAAGGCGGCGATCCATTCTAGAGATCTTTTAAAATACAAGTAAGAGTTTGTGGTCCATTTGAATATCACTACACTAAACCATTTGGGAATTATAACCTTTTGCTTCTGATTTTTTATGTACATTTCTTTGTCAGATTAGTTAACGTATATTGCAGTATAACGATCATGTAATCTGGCATAATGAGGCTTAAAAGAGAAATATCACGATGATCAGCAGTATTCGTGTCCATCCTTTTGTGTCTACTGTGACAGCCCTGTAATCTGTTAAATGTATTTTAGCACTTGTCTTGTTCTGGGTGCCTGTTTGGAAAAACTTTATTTACTTTTTAATATATTTTGAATAGAAAAAAAAAACATTCAAAGATTTTTTTTCCCGACTCTTGCTGGCATTTTTTTGTTTTGGATGCATTAGTTGTCCGGTGCAACTGGTTGTCTGAAAACTTGAACATAAAGCATCGTTTTTTGTTTTTGTTTTTTTCCGTAAGATGTAAACCTTTTACCATTCTGCTGAAAGGCAGGCAGGTAGGTCTGTACACAGGTGTTCCTAAGAGTAATATGACCCAAAGCCCTGCCTTTTGAGAAGAGCGTGCCTGTGGATCAGCCACTTTTCTGAGGGGGAAAAAAGATGCACTGCAGAACTGGACCAGAAAATATTGTCACTCTATATGCAAGTATTCTGATGTGGTCTGTCCGTGGTAACAGGGTATTTATTGCAGACACTAACGGAAAACAAGGATTCTGGCAGTATTTCACTGCATGCAGGAACTTGCTTATTACTCATGCAATTGTTTACAGATTTTTTTTTTCCAATGGAAACGTGGTTTTTACTACTAGTGCCGTATCAGTGGAGCAGGCTCAGTCCTGGTGAGCACTGAGGTCCAGTGACAATGACAATATCACCTCATAGCTTTTTTTTAATGTACTGCCATAGATTACATTTTTCATATTTAAAAAGTTTTTTTTTTTATTGCTGCTCTTATGGTGTTTTAAATGTTTCTTAATTCATTCCTTCTTGTAATAGCTGGGAGCTGACCCCTTTTTTGGAGACTTTTGGGACACCTCAATGAACTCTAAAAAAACCAATGTGAATTTTACTGTCCTGCTCTGTTTGTAAAGAGCATTCATTACTCACGTCTGTTTGTAAAGAGATTTACTCCTGAATGACATACAGTGCAAAACAATGGCATTTCTGTTTGCCATAGTTTTCAGCTCTTCATTAAGTATATTTAAATGTATTTTCAGTGATTTTTTTGAGTTTACAGGAAAGACTTTGTAAAAAGGGGTGATCTACAGCTCTTTTAGGAACATTAATTCGCCAGCTGAAAGGGTGTGTCTTTCTGTGAAGTCCTTTGGGTTGTGCTTTGAGGGACAAACAATGAAAGCTTTTCTCAACTGTTGCTTTAATTTGCTAAAGCTGTGCACATATGTATGAAAAACATAGCTTGGTTTGGGGAGACTTGTAGTTTCAGGATTTTGCTCTCATTTCTTAAGCAAGCTTGACTATGCTTCTACTGCTTAAAAAGGAAGACTGGCATTGTTTTGCACAAGTGTTTTTTTTCTGGTGGCCCCAAGAAGAGGAAAAAAAAAAGAATTTAAAAATATAAAAAATCAAAACTACATTGTTAAACCATCATGTTAAAGTTGTGAATTTTGTAATAAAGGAGTTATAGAAAATGTTGGATGTTTTCTATTTAAAATAAAATAATTTTTACCATTGTCAGCAATGGTCACTTGCAGTTTGAATGACTTCTGGGTAATAAGGTCTTGGTCAGCTTGTTTTACAAGCTGGAGAGGAAGAGCAGCGACAGTGGGAACAGTTTTACAGGAAGCCCTGTTGTCCCACCCTGGTCTGGGACGACCTCTGTCCCTTTTCAATCCACCTCCACTGTGGCGCATCAGTCTGCTAAATTGAACCGTTTGCTTGTATTTTTAAAACCTTTTAGTTTTTTTAAATGGTAAAAGATTAGAATTTAAGAAAGCAGTGCTCGATGTTGGGTTTCACTTGGTGGAACTGATACATTGGGTCTGTTTCTTCAGAGACGCTCTTTCTCACCAGCCTGGAAAGGACAGTTGACAGGGTTATGTCCTTGGTGCTGAAAACTGTTCAGTGGGTTTGAGCTCCATTGTAATGAAATCCGGAGGTGAGAGGTGTGCGCACACTGCGGGATTCAGAAACTGCTGTAAACATCCACATGCGTCTGGAATTATTCATGATGGAATGGCAGAGACTTGAAAGAGCATATTGCAGCTTGGCTAAACAGAGCTTGATTGAATAAAGTTTGTGAAATTATCACGTTCTCCCTCATTAGTATATTAAACCCCACCTGAATTAATCTATCAATGTGGTATAAATCTATACTTTTAGTTTCCTGATGATTCTTATACAAAAAAAAAATTAATGGATTTAAATATGAGCACCTTTAAAGGCTAAATATAAAAAAGGATTCTCGATTATAATCACGAGTAGTAACCAGCCAAAAATAAATCGCTGAACTGGTTTTTGTTTGTTTTTAAAAATATCCTTTAAACCTCTTGGCCTGCAAATGTCTTTATTGTATTCCAAGAATTTATTACAACATGTCACGTAAGGTGTAACAACAAGCATACAAATCAAGTTGCAAAAAAAATTGAAACCTGCATTCTGTAGCTTTCATACGTTACAAGAAAAAAAATATGCATGTTTAAGTAGGCATAGGCAACAATGAGGTATGTCATCCCAGAGAAAAACATGTTTTAAGTTATAATGAAGTCACATTTTCTAAAGGTTTCTGTATAAAGAGGCACAGTCTGTAACCTCACAGCAATAGTGGGCTTTGAAGTGGGGGAAACATGCGATTGCCGTATAGCAGAAAGAGCCTGATCTAAGCAGAAAAGTGTAGTTCAACTGTGCCGTGCTAAATGGGAGAGGCACTTGGAAAAAAAAAAAACCTAGAGAAGAAAATGTGCGGCTCTCCAACCTGCCCTCCAGGAAACGAAGAAACCGGTCTCGCTGGGAAAATCAGTACCTGCTCGTTCAGACATTCAGATGGTTCTTTCCACATCAATTAGCGAAACCCCTTGGTCGCCATTACACCTACACGGCAGGAAACCGCCCCAGGGGCTCCACATTAACACCACATCCTCGCCCTGCGGCACAGGGGCTCAGCTTTGCACGAGGAAAGAGGAAACTGTCTTCTACGTTTTCTTCACGGAGAGAGACAACATCACACGTAGGGTACATCCACCAAGTACTGTAGCTACTACCATCCGTCCACACTCGGGAAAATGCATTTTTATTTTCGAGGTCGGCTTTCTTTAAACGGGACTGTTTGTGAGGCTCTGATACGGTGATGCTACTTGCCTTATTGCTCCCTACTTGCCTTATTCAAACATCCAGAACAAAGAAGAAAAGCTCAAAAAAGAATGAAAACTCTCAGCCCCTGAATCCCCCCAGGGAGAAGAGTAACGGGGGATACGAAAAGAGAGACACTGTATGACTTAGAATGGTTTTTTCCATCCAATTAAAAGTTGACTATAAAGAAGAGGAAAGATAAAAAGAGCCTTTTAATTAATAAAATATTAAAATATCTTTGGTAAAAAAACAAGCCCAGTTCACAATGAAACAAGAAGGCAGCACAGGTGAGGTCCTGGGACGGGCACAGGCAGCACCTGCTTTGTAACTCCTCCAGGTAATACTGACCCGCTGGAGAGCTCTTGCTCCGCACGCAAGCTCAGTACCTGTTCTGGGGTCTTGGGCAAAGAGCCTCCAGAAATCAATCAAAGGCACTATATTCAAGCGGGGTGGGAGATTACAGTGAGGAAAACTGTTCCCCATTACATGACGAGAGACGAGTAGCAGGGAGTTACATTTCCATTACTGGAAATACTAGATTATTCACATCAAGTGGAGACTCAATTTCCTGACGTACCTGTATATTTAAGGAGGGTTACAGACAGGAGACGACCATATGGTATATCTAGCTTTCAGTAAAGACGTATTTTCCTACTAAAGATTAATATAAATCACGACAAGAGGAGGACACACGTTCTAAAAAGGAACGTGACCTAAAAAATCCAATATTTATTCTTGGCATTATCTTGTCACAACTGTAAACCGTTGACAAATTCTTTCTCTCTGGTTAAGTTAAATATATCATAATGGTAGCATGTTTGGCTCATAGATCGAAAAGTGTCTTCACCATTTCATCTTTCAACACTTTTCCAACAGAACACTTCGCCAGTAAAGGAGTCACATTTCTCAGGCAAGCTGTCTCCCTGCAGGTGTGCGATCGGCCGCTCGGAGCTCTGTGAGCGAGGGAGCAGGCGGCTGCCGCAGACAGCTGGAGGCACCTCTCTGGACACCAGGGGGGGTCCCCAAAGCCCACCGGCCTCCACTTTCACAACTGAAGTTCAACGCAAAGGTTTTTAAGATTGTCTCAGCAAAAAAAGAAGAAGTAAAAAAACGAAGAGTTGGGTTTCTTGCATCTTGCCTGAGACCATTCCTCTCAGCTCCTTGAGACATTAACTGAGGAGGCGTGCAGCATGACTTCTCTACTCTTGGCTAAGGCAACTTGTGTCGGTTTATTATTATTAATCCCTGATATCAGTTTTTCTCCCTGGAGATTGCTGAGCATTGATTGATCTGTCAAGTGTCATTTGGAGTACACAGTGTAGGTAGAGGAATGTCGGCCATATTCATTATTAAAATTTGCACATGGTGCAGGGCATTGTGGGAAGGCAGTGTGTTTATAGGGATTGGGTTTGAAGCCCATCGGACTGCAGAACCCGCTGGCTGGGTCAAGTGACCTTCAGAGACCCTTGACAAAGCCCCAAAAATGAAGCCCAGCTGATCAGAGCAACAGGGGATTAGTTAAATTGTTCTGAGGATTTCACTTACTGGACACAATACATGAATTTTAACTACTTTAAAAAAGTCCACGATTTGTGTCAACTGACACTCGCTGAATCTATGGTAGGATTGTGTGCGACACACCTAAGGCCCCAGTTAGCATAACCACTCTGCCTGACCTGTTTAATTCCAGCCTGCTAAGTCTCTGGAGAAAGCCATGCTGCAGCTCTGCCCCGCCCGGATCAGAACACCAACACCTTCCATCCCGGGTAGGTAAACGAACATCCGAAAAACAGGCAGTCCACTCCCTGATCCAGGACCCAGTCAAACACTACCTCCCTGTTGCCCGAGCCAATCGTAACTCTCAGTTTGAAGTTCCCCCCGTCGCTGATGTCGTTGTTCACAGGAAGCAGGCTAACAACCTCCATGTCAAAGGTCACGGCAGACCCAACGGTGACCGCGGGCAGCTGGTTGGTCATCTCCTTGCCGTTCACAAACACAGCACCTGGGGGGGAGATTAGCAGGAGGGTTACT